CCTCCCGCAGCTGAGCCCCACCGACGGTGGCCGCCGGGAGCCGAAAAGCCGCCGCCCGCGAAGCGCCTCCCCCCCCAACCCCGCTCCCGGCCCGTCATCCCGCCCCCGCCGCGCCTGCGCAGTCCCCGGCTCCCGGGGCTCGAGGTCGGGACCCGGGTTCGAGACCCCGGCCCCGAGGTTGGGGGGGGTGTCGGTATGTGTGTGTGTGTTTGTTTGTTTGGCCCGTCGGGGGTGTCCTGAGAGTGCGGGGGGGGCTGGTTTCGGCCTCTCCTGACGCGGTTCGGGGTGTCCCGTCCCCCTTCTCAGCTGCAGATTTGAGTCTTCCCAAGATGGCACCACACACCACCTAGGGATATATTTTCCTAAAAGCGTTTTAATCGCCAGGAAAAAAACCCCAAAACCCCAACCCAAACAAATGCAGAAGAACCCAGACCTCCTTCCCTCATCCCTTTCCTATTTTGAGAAAGTTTGGCTATGCCGCAGACCCCCTTTTCCAGGATTTCTGAGCCATAAAGTTCTCTACCCAAGCCATTCTGCCTTCCCTCCCATGAAGAAAACCACCAGTAAGTTACTGGTTAGACGGGGACTGGGCGTGAATGTCCCCGGAGGAGGCACAGCAGCAGACACCGCTGTGGTGACGCTGTAGAATGAGCCCCAACCTGCTCCCGTGCAACCGCTGCGTGATCATTTTACATACACCAAGATAAGGTTCCTATTACTGCTCCAAACATCTTTATTTTACTGGGAGGCTCTTAAAAATCTCAGAGTGTTGTCACAGAACTGCTGGGGAACAGTAATTCTTACTCAAGTAATGCCAACAAGTGTTTTTCCCTGCATAACACTTTATAAGAATTCAGTTTCAAGGTTCCCCCGGCTCAAAAAAATACTTTAAAAACCCTTCTGGGGGTAAAACATCATTATCCATAATTTAAAAGTAAGCATTTCTGTAACTAGAAGAGGAGGTAACAGCTCACAAAAGCCCTGAGGAACATTGATTGCTCAGCACCCCCAAGGAGGTTAGTTTTATTTACATGTGTATTTCTGTAATTCCCTTGAACATACACCTCTACTCGGAGATCAAGATAACTGTCCTTTAGAATATGGGGTTAAAAATATATATATATCTATTTGCAGGTTAAAAAATCATGAATCACTGCTGTCAAATACCTGCTTCTCTTCAAGCACAAAACTATGAGTCATGGCAGGGTGTTGAGAGCAGAGGAACTGGTTTATAGGAACCACCCAGAAGAGCCCAAGCCCTTAATCTTCTGCCATCACCCACTCCTGCAGCCAAAGAGTGGGTCTAAGGCATAGCTGAGAGGATTTCCACTGTAAAACACTACTGAGGGTACCATCTCCTCCAGTGACAAGGGGAAAAAAAGCTCCAAAAACTTATGTTTAGGGAAGAGTGGAGCTGGAAAAACCTATGAGCAAACCTCTGATGAAGCCACAGGAGGCCCTAGACCAGTGGTTTACAGCAAGACAGGCAGAACTCCATGGGTCAGGTGCAATTCCAACCCTGGTGGAAGAGCTCGGGCCATACAGGAGCACCTTGAGCATTGGTGTTCTATCAACCAAAGCCCAGGAGCAGCAGAACAGGTCTGGCCAGGGTTGGACTTGCTCCTTAGCCCTTCCATATCACTGCTCTTGGCATCAGCTATACGTTGCAGAGCTCTGCACCTCACCAGTGCTCCCTACTGGTTGTGGAAACTCCAGTTAAGAGGTCATCTAGACCAGGAAGAGATGAAAACCAAACCCCAGTAAGGGAGAACATTCATCCCCATGGTACAAGCCTCCTGAGCACTGGCACTTGCCAGTCTGGTTCTGCCTGTCATTTCCCATTAAATGGTGAACATAGTTCAACTCCAAGTGGCACCTGCAGCAAAGCCACTTGCTAACGGGCAATGTCTCCTACACCAAGAGGCTTTTACTAAGAGATGTTTGTGCACTGGGTTGATAAATGAGCAGCAGCCCGAGGGCCACACTCAGAATTTTGCCCCACAGACACGAGCCCGTTTAGAAAAACGGCAAAGGTGGTTTCAGTTTCATTGGCCACTGCTCAGCCTTCTCAAACCAACAGAAGACAACCAGCAGGGTAGGTATCACAGATATATTTCACTGCAGTTAGAGGCTGGACATTGAAGAACAAGCATTAACATACACTACAGTGAACTCTAGAGAAGGTGCCATCCCCAGCAGAGCCGAGACAGGAGAAACACGGCGTGTCAACAGCTTTCAGATCTCATAGTGCGTCACCACCGGCGGCTCTTTATTGGGGTCTCCTCCTCTCTCCAGATACAGGTCATTGAAGGGATATTGCTTCGGTCCCTACAAGGAGAGATAGAGAGTAGGAAATTCACCACATTCACCAAGAAAATTAAGGGATAAGGGGAAAAAGATCTCATCCCATCCAACCCCTGCCCAAATCAAGACTTGTCATTTACTACTTAAATTTCTATTTATTAAGGGCTTCAGTATGAATATTAGAGCACAAGGAAAGTAAATTAAGAAACAGAGTTCTTTGTATAAGCCCACGTCCTTTAAAAGAAATATCAAGGTGTTCTTGCATTAAATATCAACCAACAGTTCATCTCACAGCATGGGGGTAATAAATGGCAAAAGCTCTTTGTGTATTCAGATGTATTTCTCAGAAGTACATTCCAAATGATGCAGATCATGAGATATAAGTAAATACATGTGGCAAGGGAAGAGATAAAGCATCTCCCTCGAGCAGATCATAGAATCACAGAACGATATGGGGTTGGAAGGGACCTCTGGAGACCATCTAGTCCAACCCTCTGCCAGAGCAGGGCCACCCAGAGCAGGTTGCACAGGAATGTGTCCAGGTGGGTTTGAATGTCTCCAGAGATGGAGACTCCACCACCTCCCTGGGCAGCCTCTTCCAGGGCTCTGCCACCCTCACAGGAAAGAGGTTCTTCCTCATGTTCAGATGGAACTTCCTCTGTTCCAGTTTGTGCCCATTTCCTTTTGTCCTGTCCCTGGGCACCACTGAAAAAAGACTGGCCCCATCCTCCCAACACCCACCCTTTAAGTATTTATAAGCATTGATCAGCTCCCCCCTCAGTCTTCTCTTTTCTAGACTAAAAAGACCCAACTCCCTTAGCCTTTCCCCATAAGAGAGATGCTCCAGGCCCCTGGTCATCTCTGTAGCCCTCTGCTGGACCCTCTCCAGCAGTTCCCTGTCCTTCTTGAACTGAGGAGCCCAGGACTGGACACAGGACTCCAGATGGGGCCTGCCCAGGGCAGAGCAGAGGGGAAGGATAACACACGAGGGAGATGCACATGGGGAAGAAAAACACTTAGACCAAAGGTGGGGTACTGTAAGAAGCAGAGCTTAAAATTAGCTCCCTGTGAACAGGAACTGCTCACTATGAAACAATCTATGAGATGAGCAAAGCCAGTCAACAGAACAATTTGGGCTGGAACAGGCCCCAGGACACCCCTTGGCCCACCCTCTGCCAGTAGCAGGGCTTTACATTCACACCTGCCACTCAGCTTTGGCAAAACCATTCTTCTGGGCATCAGCAGTGGCAAGAAACACAGCTATTTTTCTTCCCTTTACTCACCACAGGCCTGTAGGAGGGATAGATCTGCCCGACAGCAAACATGATCAGCATGGTGCTCAGAAAGACAAGGAAGTGCTTGCGCATGGTGTGCCAGGGAACCACCGTGGGGGACGTGTCAACACGGTTCCGAATGTACATGTCAAAGTCCCAGTGCATCTACAGAACAAAGGGAAACCACAGCACATTTACCAACAGGGCTCAAGCTACTCTTATCAAGGGCAGAAGCGCTTTATGGCATTCACAGAACTGCCAGAAGCTGCTTCATCTCCAGCTTGCAAGCAGAGATAAAGCCGCAGAGGAGCGAAGTGATTTGCCTACAGTCACAGCAAGTTGTCACCTACAGGAAAACTCAGGACTCCAAATTCCATCCTATTCTTACACCAGGCAATATGTTCAACTATAGGATACCAGCAGCTTTTATTTATATACATAATCACGCCACCTTAGATTGTTTTCCTCAGCACCATTGAAAAGGAATGATAAAAATCAGTACCCTCGTTTATGGAAGTTCAGCCTCAGAAAGAGCAGTGTTACTTCAAACAAAGCAGCAACTACCTGCCACTTGGAAGCTGCTTCCTCTAAACCAGGTAGAGCAGCTCCCACTGTTACTCCAAGTCAAGAGCAGGGCTGGCAGCAAGCTCTTCCTGACTGAAGCAGAAGGGTATTTAAGCTTCTGCCTTGAAGTACACATAGGGAAGTCCCAAGCACATTCTGCCTACTGTCTCCTTTCACATCAATGAAAGCAGAGAACTCAGTTTGCAGCTCAAGTACTGCCTCTAGCTCCCCAGCCTTCCCCTTTGCTATCACACCCAGAGAGCCTGGCTAAGCCTGGAATATACCTGGAATTCACCAGTATATTCCACTTGCCCCCCCGCTGCCAGCCCCACTGAGGGGGTACCTATACAAGCCTTCTTGTCCCAGAAACCACAACACAGAGTCACCAGGGGTTTCTACAGTTATTACAACACACAAGTACCGTGGTACACACACTATGATGCTCTGGCGTGCTTATGTATGGTATATCACATACACATGTGTACGTAATCTCTACTTTTGAGTTAGGAGAGCTTTAGGAGTCAGTTACCAAGCTCAGAAATCACAGCTGGTTTGCAGTTATTCACAGAAAGACCACGCACTAACTGAAAAGTTACTCCTGACAAGGAGTTTGAGGAACTTGGGTTTTGAAAGTTAACATAGGTGCTCTATTAATCTGTTTCTCTTAAGGATATCTTGCAAACTCTCTCCAAAGGAAAAGCCTCCTTATTTGCATTCCATCCAAAACAACCCTAGAGGAATAAAGCAGCAACAGCTACTGCCACTGTACTCAAATGGTGGCTCCTTTGCTAGATGATTCTAAACGAAGCTCTCCGAGTCAGAGTAAGCAAATAAAATGGATAAGACTTTCCTGTTCCTGTAAAAATCTCTCTCCTCACATGTAATAAGGTGTTAACATTCTTCAGCACTTTCAAAATATTTAGCCTGATGCAAATATGTACATCTATCTAAATACTTACAGCCCCAGTTTCCCTCCAACTGACTGCCCCTGCTTGCACGGGCAACACACACCTGCGCTTGGGGATGCAATTACACAGAGAATTAATCAGAAAGCACTAACAAGATGTACATGTTAGCAATTAGTAACAGGAGCACTGTAATCACACTGAAAAGAGCTACAAGCATTCCTACCGGCTGTCCCCAGTTATGCCTCATGTCCGGCTGGTCCCACTGGTACCAGGGGTCTCTCTCATGAAGAGACTTATTAGGGAGCTTGGGATAGTCACCATACCTGTGAGAAATAGACAAAAAAATCCCCAAAGATAGAAGAAATCTGTATTAATTAAGATGCATTTTGAAGATGCTAAAGGACAGGATTACGTAAATGGAAGACTTAAACGTTACTTTGCTTTTATAGCTCCTAGGTATATACATTTTTCAAATACACACATGCAACTAGCACAGCAATCATCGCCTTGATAACAGTCATTGTAACAAAAAGTGGCCTTTTGGGGCTATACTAGCTGGAAGAAAATACAAGCTTAAATGAAATATAGAACCCTAGTTGCCTACCATCATTTCTCAACATTTCAACACCTGAAATCTTTATTCCAGAGACAACTTTGAGTCCATCCCTATTAGCCTGGCGCTACAACGTCACGTGAAGTCTCTCACAGAGTACTTTATTCACACAGAACTCCAACGCACCCCACTTACTCCTGTCTTAAAGCTCTAAGCTCCCAACAGAGCACCTCCAGGCACTCAAGAGGGACTCCCACCCCGCACCACCGTCCCCACAAGGCCGGGAGGTGCGGGCCTGGGGCCGCTCCCCGCCTGCGGGGGCCGGGGCCTACCCTCCCACCAGGGCCTACTCTCCCCCCCAGCTCACCCGAAGCCGTCGTCGGGGTAGGGCTCATAATCTTCCACCCGCATATTGTACTTCTTCGCGGCGGCTGCCCGCTCCTCCGGCGTCCGGGGGTACGGCCCGGGCAACATATCCTTGGACAGCCCCGAAGCTGAGAACAAGAAGGCCGGGTGGGCGCGGGGACCCGGGGGATAGGGGGGGCG